GGGGGGTTACCAGGGATTGAACTCTACCACTGAACCACATCCCCAGCCCTATTTTATGTTTTATTTAGACCCAGGGTCTCACTGAGTTGCTTAACACCTTGCCATTGCTCAAGTTTGCTTTGAACTTGCAATCTTCCTACCTCAGTTGCCCGAGCTGCTGGGATTACAGGCATGTGCCACCCCACCCAGAAATGTGGTAAGCTGTTTTTTTAAAAAGTGTTCTGTTAGTTGTCAATGGACCTTTATTTAATTTGTGGACTTCTTTAGAGACAGTGAGTAGATAGTGTGATTCCCAAGAACCCAGAGGAAATCAAGCGCATATATAGAAAAAATTGCTCATAAATAAAGCTAAATATTGTATATAGAGGCCATTTGTTCCTATGTCTTACACTGCTAATTATGGTATATATATATATATATATTTGCTGGTTGTGGGATAATGCTTATCTAAGAGGGATTGGCAGTATAAAGATATGGCTTGAACTATGTCAACTTTTTCAGGGTATTTTTTTTTTCTTTCTAGTTCAATTGCATACCTCAGATAGCTTACTTCTATAATACTGGCATGTAATATGAGACTAAGTACATACAGTGAGTATCTGCAAGCCAGATCATTGCATAAGTTTGCTGAGAAATCAAGGGTATTCACAGCTAGTATAGGTTTAGGATATAAGAACAAAATGGTGGAGACTGGTGCAGACCTTATGAATTCAGCAAAACTTTTTATTCAGCTGTGGAGTCAGGCATCAGATGGGCAGACTTTTTGGTTAGAAATGGCTGCTGGTCTGGGTTTATATAGGTTACACACTGGGAGGTAACTTACCCATTGAAGACTTTAATAGCACGTGGGCATTCAGGAAAAAGGTTGAAAAACTAGAAATTTGTTTTTACTGGCAGTGTTTTCGTAGGACTCTATCACTGAGAATGGATATATTGGGACATCGGGAGCAATGCTAGGTGGCTGAAGTTGAATGGTGGGGGGAAAAAGGGGGTCTCCCATAAAGAAGTTCAAAGGGGCTGATCATAAGAGTTTTTTTTTTTTTGGGCAGTGCCTGGATCCACATAAGGGCCAAAGGTAGGAGCTTAATCAAATTCAAGGAATGTTTCTACATAATTTGGTTAAGGTTGCCTTTAAGGTCCTATTTGTCCTTTCAACCTTTCCTGAGGACTGCAGATGATAGGTAATGTGGAAATTTCATTTTATATTTAAAAGTTAGACAATTCTTGGGTAATAAAGAAAGTAACTGGGGGGCCTATATCAGACTGGAGAGAGGCAGGTAAATCAAAACGTGGAATTATTGCTTGGGAAATTATGTTGCAGTGGTAAAAGCCTTCTTATTGTTAGCAGGAAAGGCTTTGATCCATCCAGTAAAGGTGTCTACTGAGTCTAGGAGATATTTGTTTTTCTTACAGGGGACATGTGGGTGAAGTCCAGTTGCGTGTCAGGAAGGTCTCCCTAGCTTGCTGTGTCAGAAATGGCTGTGGTCTCACCTTGGGGTTGGGGTTGTTTTTGAGACAAGTGGTGCAGGATTGAGGAACTTGTTGGAGATACTGAATTTAGTGAATTCTTCAGGAATCATTGGAGGGAGCGCATATCAGGGAAAACTAAGAGGACTTTAGTTTCATCAGGGAGAAAGTGGAGTTTTGTGGGCATAGAGGCTTGCGATGATTGAGGGTGGTGGTGAAGAGAGAGCAGCCTGCTTCACTAGCCAGTCCCCTGTATTATTTCCTAAGGTAATGTATCCCTTGCCAGCCTGATGTCCTGTACAGTGCAACGCTGCCATCTTGTGGAATAAAGGAGCAGCTTCAAGCAGATTTCTTATGTAATTAGCATTAAGAATTCCTGCCTGAGGAAGAAAACCTCTTTCCCTGCAGATTAAGATGTTAGAATGAATTATGTTATAAGTGTATTTGGAATCAGTAAAAATGTTGATTGACTTGTTTCTGGCTCATGATAAAACTTGAATGAGAGCAGCAAGTTCAGCTTGTTGAGATGTGGTGCCTGAGGGGAGGGGAGCAGCCTCAATTAAATGGGTGAGGACAAAAGAAGAATCTGCTGTATTCTTTCCTTGAAGTATAGCATAGCCTGCAAGGTATGGGGACTATTAGCAGAAAAGGACCAGGCTGGATACAAACTTCATGGATCAGCACAGCTTTTATGCAGGAACAGACTGTTGCCTCTGATGGACCCACTTCTCAGAAGGTGGAAAAAGAGCCATGGGCCCAACGGGGAATCAATGCTTATATAGGTTACAGAGAGGTGACTTAATTAATGAGTACTCGGGAAATAGGTTTGGGAGAATTTGAAAATTTGTTTTTACTCTACAGTGTTTTTACTTGGAGAAAAATGGTGGGTCTAGGGTCAGCATTCAGTGTTTAATAACTCTTTCCCTTCAGGGTTCCATTGTAGTGTTACTGGGAAAAGATTTATTTGGGAAAGGATCAATGCTCTGGCTCCCTTTCTAGGGATTTTTATGTCATTGGGAAATAATGCAGTGGGAAATGATCAATGCCATCCATGTGCTGCTTTTTTCTTTACTCCCTCTTCCCATGCCACAGTATTTTGGAGTTTGTCATTTTCCATATACAACAGGTACTCTTTCTGGGAGCTTTCATTTATAAACCAGTCTGGGGAGTCAGGGAGTGGCTGATCATTTATATGTGAAAAGGGGTTCATCAAGAAATCAAGGATGGGGCTGGGGTGTGGCTTAGCGGTAGAATGCTCACCTTGCACAGGCAGGGCCCTGGGTTTGATCCTCAGCACCATATAAAAATAAATAAACAAAATAGGGGTATTGTGTCCAAGTAGGATTAAAAAATAAATATTAAAGAAAATGAAGGTTATCAAGACAAGAGTGAGAAATCACAGGGGCAGAGGGTTTTTTGTTGGGAGAAGAGTATAGGGTTTAATAGAGAGTCTTGCTGCTAGGAAGTTAGGGGATCCAGGAGTTGTGCATGCAGTCATTGGACTGTGGTTGGGGGATTGTTGTTGGAATGGGGAGAAATGACCAACAGCTGAGAAGTTCTGAAAGGGAGGGAGTGTGTGGTAAGAATAGTAAAAGGTTGACATAATGCAAATTTTCTGGCCTCAGGGATCAGTAGGGCTGCAGTCTATAAAACCTTGAGGCATTGGGCCAGCCTTGATAAACTAAGTCTAATTGTTTGGATGAGAAAGTCCTGGGGCGGGGGATATCCCGAGACTTCTGGTAAAGATGTCTCAAGGACTCCTTTGTCTTCTTTGCCTGAGTGGAGTGACAGGAAGAAAGGCTTATTAGGGATAGGTAAGTAAAGAGTTAAGGATTCCAGAAGAGAATTCTGGAGAGTAGAAATGGTGGAAGAAAAGGAATGGGGAAATGGAAGAAGATCTAAAAGATTCCCTTTTGAGGCTTCAAAAAAGGGTTTGGCCATGAGAGAGAATTTGGGTATCCAGATGTGAAAATGCTGAAAAAGGCCTAAGAGGGAAAGCCTATCTCTTTTAGTGTAAGGTAGGGGAATGTTCTTTAAGGCCTGGAGTCATTCTGGGGTATTGTATGGGAGTTGGGGGGTCAGTAGGATATATAACTATTGCATCTGAGGGGAGCAGAGCAGGGTCTTAGATTGAGAGACCTTGTACCCTAGGAGGTCAGGGCATTAAGTAGGGTGGTGGTAATGTTTGGAGAATTTGAGGGATGGGCTACTGAGCAAGAGATCATCTACATGTTGTATGAGATGGCTAGGGGATAAATTTAAGGTGGCCAGATCTTGTTGGAGAGCCTGGCCAAAGTAGTGGGTGCTATGCGGACGCCCTGTGGGAGAAGAGCCCAGGTGAGCTGCTGAGACATATTAGTGCCTGGATCAGTCCAGGTAAAGGCATAAGTGAGCTCGAGGCACAGGGCTTTGTGCATGTGAGGCAGGCACTCTACCAACTGAGTTATATCCCCAGCCTGGCAGGGGCATTTTTAGGGCTCTGGATGGCTGAGGCCAGTAGCTGATATTTAGTTTAAAGACATTTATCTCTGTTTTGGCTTTGTCTTCCCTATTGTTAAAAAACCTTGAAAGTAGTATCTAGAAGCTACTGTAGTGGGGTCTTGGGGCCCTTTTCTTACATTCTAAGTGTTTTATGGATATCAGGTGCAGACCCACTGATAAAGTTAAAATGGAGAAAGAGAGTGCCACCAGGAGTATCCAGGTCTAGGTTGGTATATTTAGTAACAGCCTCAGTAAGCCAGGCCAAAAAGAAGGTGGGGTTTTATCAGGTCCCTGAAAAATTGCCTTTTAAATTATTCAGAGACCTGATAAAATTAACCTGGGTATGAGAATTTTTGACATGCCTTAAAGGAGGCAAATAATCATGTGCTGGTGTCTGATGACCCCAGAGTTTTGAGGCTGATATGTCCAATCAAGTTCAGCTGTAGGAATGGCAGCCCCTGTGCAGGATGGATAAGGGGAATTTGGGCATAGAGGAGATTGACATGGTTTAGCCACATGTGAAATATGAGCATGTTCATCGGGAGTCAGGGTGGAAGGCCTACTCTGCCTTGTTTGTGACAAAGCTGTCAGAGAAATGGCATCATGAACTTGGACCATCCCTTCAGCCTCGTTCAATATCCAAGTTCAGTTTTTGGAATTTGGAATTTTCTAAAACATAAGTGTTACCTACTTTATAACTCTTTCCTGTATTTAGTAGGGTTTTCAGAAAATGAGCCTACTCTGCCTCTGTTTGTGACAAAGCTGTCAGAGACATGGTGACATGAACTTGGACCATCCCTTCAGCCCCTGCCACTTCTCTGAGAGGGAACACGTGTTGCACTCTTAAGGATTTTTAATCTTGTAGAGGAGGTGATGGCAGGGGGGAGGTAGAGTATGAGTGTGAGGTTTTTTTTGGGGGGGGGTAGATGGGGGAATTGTGGGACTTTGAGGAGAGCAGTCTGATGTGGGGCCAGTGAGACTCCAGAATCTGTAAGGATTGGGTTCATCTGCTATTTCTGGATTAGTGAATGAGGAAGAGATGTATGAGTCTGTGAGTCAGTTTAAAGATTCAGCAGTAGCTGCATGTGCTGGGCCAAAGGAGTGAAAGATGTTCAATGGTCACTTCCAAGGTCTCATGGGTCATTTCATGTGACTGAGAAAAGGAGCAGGTTGGGAGGGGGATGGGGACAGGTGCAGACCTCATGAATTCAGCAAAGCCTTTATTTAGCTGTGGATTCAGGCATCAGGTGGACACACTTTCTGGGTTTGAAAATGGCCACCCTTTACAGGAGCAGTCTGGATTTATATACTTTTGAATACAATAACTATCATAATTATCTACAGTTTAATCTGGAATTTAGTACTTTTTTCTGTCTTGAGACACACTGTTCTTTGCTCTTTTACTTGTAGGTGAATTCAAAATTTTCCTAACATGTTGAGTCCTGGTACCTGATAAGTATGTGCAGATATTGCACTGAGCTGCATTCTTAAGTCTCTTGGTTTTGGTTTGTTTTTGGAATTTGCTAAAACCTAAGTGTTACCTACTTTAGCATGATACCTATTATGTAATAGTAACCCAGGAAAAGTCTGTCTATGAATAGGAGTGTAGGTTGATACAATTTTGGTAGATTAAGCAGTATCCTTCTAAATTTAAAGTTGTGTATCCTTAATTACAGAAATTCTATTTCTAGAAATTTCTATTTCTATTTCTAGGTATAGTTGTACATATGTGTAAGGATATTGCATTGCATGGTCTGTAACAGAAGACCAAAACCCAAACCAAAAGCTTGTAATAACTCGAGGTCCATCCATATGGGACTGGTGAAGTGAATGCTGTTATTTTCAGTTATGTTACTTATAGTTTATGCAATTCTCTATGGTCATTAAAAAACTTGGACGGATATAAGTATACATGGAGAAAAATCAATATTCTAGGCACATCATAGAGAACGCATCCTATGCTGTAGAGGATACACATATATGTGAAAATAAAAATTTCTATAAGATACACAAAATGTAAATGTAAACACTGGGACACATCCCGAAGAACACATCAGGAACTGGGTGCAGAGGGACCTAATTTTTTCTTGCAGGTCCGGTACCATTTGAACTCTGAAGTACTCACAGAAACTCACAGACCTGTGCTACAGGCCTCTGGCCACGGATGGCGCTGTCGTCGACAAAGTCAGCAAAGCGGTCTGTGACGCCATCATGAGGGGCGGTGGCGCAGGCGCAGTGGCTACTCCCGGCACTGTGTGGGTAGCTGCACTTCCGACCGGGCATCTCACTCTGGCACAGCAAACCTACTGACCTCTTCGACACTTTGACTCGCTGGCTTTGGGTTGACGGCTTCTCGGCGCCCACATTAGTCAATGGCGTCATGGCCGCAGTGCCTGGGGCCGGGCACCCGACTTTTCTGGCCATCTCTTAGCAAAGAGGAAGGATGGAAACCGCGTCGCGAAAAGGTAGTAGGCCCTGGGTGCTGGGGATGGCCCTTCTAGCTTCTGGGCGTGGGCTCCATGTCTTGTGTCTTAGCCTCTCACTGTCGCGATCGCGAGCTTGACACATGAGCCAAGCTGGGATTAGAGACTTTGACCCTGGCTGTGCCACCTGCAGAAGCTGAAAGACATAGAGGTCAGTGAATTCGCCCACCCTTTTAAAAGGGAGGCCCTGTCCATTGCTCCTCGGGTCAACTAGTGCTTTGAGGCGGGACTTGGTTTTGGGGACGCTCCTTAATCATCCAAATGGAACCCTCTCCTCAATTCAACCACAGAATATATGAATAAAAAGATTTAAATTTCAGCCAGGCGCTTTAGTGCACGCCTGTAATCCCAGCGGCTCAGGAGGCTGAGAAAGGAGGATCTGGAGTTCAAAGCCAGCCTCAGCAATAGCGAGGCGCTAAGGAACTCAGCGAGATCCTGTCTCTAAATATAAAGTACAAAATAGGGCTGGGGATGTGGCAGAGGGCCCCTCAGTTCAATCCCCAGTACCAAGTAAATAAATAAATAAAACAAAATAAATTTGAATGGCTTTTTCAGAATCTGCTTGAGACCTTTCATGAAAAGTGGTTTTGCATTATTTCCAGGAATTGGGGAAGTCAAACTGGTGCTTCCTGACAGGTGTCACCTGAGAGATCTTCTTGTAGACTTCCAGATGGTTAGTGTTGAGACTCTGTTCATATTTGCTGTGAAACAGTTTACTCCTTGAAAGCTTCCAAGCTTCCTCTCTTCCTTTCCAACCTTACATCAAGTCCCTTTCATTTGCTCTCCTGAATATATTTTGAATTGGGCAGGTTTTCTCCTTCAACATCATAATGTAGGTCTTGCCTGACCTATTGCAGCGGAGTCTAGTGGTGTCCATAGATCTATTGTTACATTCTTCCAGTATGTTTTTTGCACAAATCTTTTAAATAGGTCATCACAAAAAATTGAAATTGAGCCAGGCACAGTGGTACATGGCTGTAATCCCAGCTACTTGCCAAACGAAGGAAGGTAGATCACAAGTTCCAAGCCAGGCTCAGCAATATATTCAGACCTTGTCTCAAAATTTAAAAAATAAAATAAAAATAAATGTGGGTTCATAGCTTAGTGGATTAAATGCTCATGAATTTAGCCTCAGCTCCCAAACCATCTTGAAATTGAAATGGAATTGGAAGAAGTTCATAGTTCTGATAGACATCAGAGTAAAATATTATCTTGAGAATAAAAGAAATCTCCTTACATGGTCTATAGGGTCCTGTATGGTCTGGGATCCTCTCTGCCTTCCCAGCCCCATTTCTTGCTACTCTTGACTTTCTGTGCTTCAGATGTATTGAATTAACTACAGTTAATTTTAACTTGTACTATAGAAGTGAGTGTAAATGTTACTTTTCAGGGTTGACTCCTCATATGTTCAAGAGAAGTTCACAGTCCCTTTCTTTTGGAAGTTTTCTCTTAAAACAAAGTTTAAATTCTCTACTGATTGAATTTGATGCCATCAGTTGTATGAAGACTAAAACATCATGTTTAGTGAAAGAATTGAATTTGAACTATTGTCCTGTGTTTGTTTTAATAACACTTTGGTATTTGGTGCTGGTGTTAGCTTTTGTCAGGGATACAGAAGTTCTGACCCTCTGATTTTAGATATTGCTTTTTTCTGGTGACCTTTGTTCTGTTGCCTTGGATCTGTTTTCCAGATGGGCAGATGGGAAGAAGGAATTTATGGGTTACTGTCAGGCAGGGATGAATAAGTTAAGTGGCAGAATGAGAAGCAGAGAATAGGAACATGCTCTGTGGGCTATGACTGTGGTATTCCAGAAGCCTTTATTCTGTGCAGGGAGACAAGGCTAACATACAGTTTGACTAATCAAAAACATATCCACTAGGTGGAAAGACCACCTCCCAATTGGACAGAGGATGCCTGAGACTGGATTCATTGCTTTCAAAGTTCCTTTGCAAAAGGTAAGAAAAGATAATTCTGTATTCTTTCAGAAATCTAAATTCACCACAGAATACTGGTTTTGCATTCTTTTCCTTTTTCAAATTAATATAGAATTTTAATATACATTGCTACAGATGTATATTTTAACAGAAGAAGAAAATTTATTCAATACAAATTGTTCACTCTGAAGTTGTTAAAAAACAAACTTTCCTAATAATATACATATCATAAACATAGGTTCCCTTTTGCGGTATGGGTTAAAAGTCCTGGTATCCTCCCTTCCAGGTAGGAACCGGAAGACAAGGAGTGCTCTTTTTCTCTTTGGTGGCTACATAGGCCACATGGCCATCAGAGTTGGGTTGTTGTTGCTAGCAGAGGAGTAGCATGGACTCTTCAGAGTGAGGGTGTCATCAAGCTGTGACATTCTTTGGTGAAGAGCTTTTTAGCTGGGAGTGGTTCTTTGGGGATGTAGGTACTTAGAATCATGCTACAATTGGTCTCTGTAAGTTACTTGGGGACACTGACTCTGCCATCTCCACCCATCTTACTGTGGTTTTACACATGTGTAATTAATGGAACCCTTATCGTGGCTGTTTCTGGGACTTATGAGACACGACTCATGCATCCATATGGTCCACAGTGCCACAAAGCCAGAACTGTTTGGGAGGAGAGCATTCGTATTCAGGCAACCTGAACTTCATTGCTTATGTGCCTAGCCACTATAATAGATCACATTCCTGGAGTAGAAAAAAAAAATAGGCCTTTTTATCTCCTACTTCTTATCTCTCAGAGCCATGCCATGGAAGGATTATTCTATACAGTGCTATTATTTATGAAATTATAGCTATTTGGGTTGAATTTGAAGAATTCCCACATGTTGTCCAGGATACACAGCTTTTGCAACTTCCTATGCGGTGCCATAGCTGCTTGGTGTCTTGTCTGCTTATGCCTGTGACCCTTTGTGCCAGTGCTTCATACACCACTGTATTTAGAAGCATGGCTAGCTGTAGCCAGACTGGAAACATGGAGTAGGTTCTTTCATAATGTCTTTCCTTTGAATGCATGTCCTATGGAATTCAGCCAAATTACTTATTTTCACAATGACATTAAGAAACATCTTCTACTGTTTTCTGCAGTTTTTTAAAAAAATTTATTTATTCTAATTTGTTATACATGACAATAGAATGCATTTCAAGTCATAGTACACATATAGAGCACAATTTTTCATGTCTCTTGTTGTACACAAAGTAGAATCACACCATTCATGTCTTCATACATGTACTTAGGATAATGATGTCCATCTCATTCCACCATCTTTCCCAACCTCTCCCTCCCTCCCTTTGCCCTATCTAAACTTCCTCCATTCCTCTCATGCTACCTCCCAACAACCCCATTATGGATCGGCATCCACATATCAGAGAAAACATTTGGCCTTTGGTTTTAGGGGATTGGCTTACTTCACTTAGATTGTATTCTTCAACTCCATCCATTTACCTGCAAATGCCATGATTGGATTCTCTTTTAATGCAGAGTAATATTCCATTGTGTATATTAATCTGCATTAAGAAGCCACCATTTCTTTATGCATTCATCTATTGAGCGATACCTTGGTTGGTTCCATAGTGTAGCTATTGGGAATGGAGCTGCTGTAAACATTGATGTGGCTGCATCACAAGAGTACACTGATTTTAAGTCCTTTGGGTATAAACAAAGAGTGGGATAGCTGAGTGAAATGGTGCTTCCATTCCCAATTTTCTAAGGAATCTCTATACTGTTTTCCATAATGGTTGCACCAATTTGCAGTTCCACCAGCATTATATGAGTGTACCTTTTTTCACCAAATTTTCTCCAACACTTATTGTTGCCTGTATTCTTGTTGATTGCCATTCTGATGGGAGTGAGATGAAATCAATGACAGCAGAATGCATTACAATTCTTATTACACATACATAGCACAAGTTTTCATATCTCTGGTTGTATATAAAGTATGTTAACACCAATACGTGTCTTCATACATCTACTTTGGATAATGATGAATTCATCTATTTCTCCCATGCTCCCACCACCCCCCCCAACCCCACTGTGAGTCAGACTCCTGATATCAGAGAAAACATTGTCCATTTGGTTTTTTGGGATTGGCTAACTTCACTTAGCATTATCTTCTGTTCAGTTCCTTAGGCCACTTATTGATTGGGTTATTTGGTTTATGTATTTATTTATTTGGTGTCTCGTTTTTTGAGTTCTTTATATTTCCTAGAGATTAATCCTTTATCTGAGGTGCATGTGGTAAAGATTTTCTCCCAATCTGAAGACACTTTAGGAGTCTTGGATTTTTTTTTTGTGGGTTTGTTAAGCTTTTGAGTTCTTTAGATATCCTAGAGATTAATGCTCTGATTTGCATGTGATAAAAATTTACTCCCATTGTGTAGGCTCTCTCTTCACCTCACTGATTGTTTCTTTTGCTGAAAAGAAACTTTTCAGTTTGAATCCATCCCATTTATTGATTCTTGATTTCACTTCCTGTGATTTAAGAGTCTTGGATTTTTTTTTGTGGTGTTAAGTTTTTTGAGTTCTTTAGATATCCTAGAGATCTGTGCTCTGATTTACGTGTGATAAAAATTTGCTCCCATTCTGAAGGTTTTTTCTTCACGTCATTGGTTGTTTCTTTTGCTGAGAAAAGCTTTTCAGTTTTCATCCATCTCATTTATTGACTCTTGATTTTCATTTCTTGTGCTATAGGAGTCTGGGTAAAGGAGGTCAGGGCCTATTCCTACATGATAAAGATTTGGTCTTACTTTCTATTAGGCCCAGGGACTTTGGTTTCATTTCTAGGTCCTTGATCCACTTTGAGTGGAGTTTTGTGCATGGTGTGTATGATGAGAGAGATAGGGACTTAATTTCATTTTGTTGCATATGGATTTCCAGTTTTTCTAGCACCATTTGTTGAAGAGGCTATCTTCTCC